AGGGGGGTTGGACTAGATGACCCACAGAGGTCCCTTCCAACCCCTACCATTCTGTGATTCTGTGATTCTGTGATTTTCTGCTGGGAAGATAACCCCATAAATCACACGACAGCCTGAGATTTTTCCAACCCACTTTTGCCAGTGATGTTTCAAAATCCACCAACCTGTCTCAACTGGGAAGAGTGAGCTTTCAGATGTTTGCAGCATGAATTTCCACGCACTTTTACTCGCCCAGGCTGGGCTGAGCAGCGCTCTCGGGCAGCTGTGTAAGCCCCAGCCACCGGCCCGGAGCCCATCAGGCTGCTGTTTCACGCCAGCTCGCTCCGGTGAGTGCCTCTCGAAGCGAGAGACGTCCTACGCCCCCAGGAACTCCTGCTGCACGGGAGCGGGAACTCCTGAAGGCTGCGCTTCAAGGGATTAACCTCCGAGCACCATGCCCTAAAAAGCAGCCTTCAGGGGATGGGTGCTGGCATCTGTGTCCGTGAGGAAACTTTCAGCAGCTGCTGAAGCTGGCAGGATGGCTCAGGACAAGTTGCATCTCCCACGTCGGAAAGAAGATGAACAACTTTACTGAGTGATATGCTCAACGTAACTGCAGGGGGAAAACATAGACAGAAACAGGAGTAAGCCCACACAAAACCCGGTTCTGGTCTAGGGACTCAGAAAGCTACCTTGCTGACCAAGAGTGTGCACATGCCAGAGCACGCAGCAAGGACGGGGGCTGAATGGGAGCAGCTCCACACACCTTGATGTCGTTTGGGTTCCTGCTCCTTTCGGGACGGGGCTCTGGGTCCCGAGGGGCGGGCGCGGGGTCCCGTCGAAAAGTCGGGGCCCCCTGCCACGTCTCCACGTCTCCACGGGGGCACACAGACTTCGGCGAGTCCCAGAGGCGCTAACCCTCCCGGAGAGGCTGCCGCCCCAGAAACGTTCTCACAACAAGCAGGGCGTAAGGGGCTTTTCCGAGCGACAACGGATGCGCATGGCGCGAGTCCCAGAAGTACACGTCACGTTCACTGAACTAATGGGAACGAGGAGTACCAAACCTCATCTCCATACGTTAGGGCTTTTTTCTGCAAAATAGCTCATTTAGTTCAGGTATTCCTACGCGATGCTGCAAGCAAGAAGCCCAAGCTTACCTCACCCGAATCCACCTGAAGCTCCCTGTTACAATCACGCCGGTCTCTCACAAAAGCACGGGAAGCAAGCGCTGGCACAAACCCGGGAGCTCTCTCTTGTCCGGTACGAGAGACCCAGCAAGTGGAACGGGCCACAGGCTGAAGATCTCACCCACCTGTCTCGCTTCAATGTCTAAATGTAGCACGCAGTGTCGTATTCAAAGTCCCACTGCTTCGCAGAAAGAACAATGCTTTGCTGTGCCACCTCTGTTAAGCATCAATTACAAAGATAAATGAGTGAAATTTAAAATATCTTAACCCTGAGGGCATCGTATTTTTTACTCACGAGAAATTAACAGGCCTATTTCTTGTTGGTACTAAAGGCAGTTTAATCACAGGATCAGCGCAAACCGAACAAAAAAGGTCATTTCTTTTTACTTTAATGAACTGCTGTGCTAGAGACCGATTTCTTCGCTTCATCACAAACTATTCTACAAACTGAAAAGGGGAGAGGAAATGAACACAGCAGAGTCTCACCAAAAAAGACAAAAAAACAGACAGAAAAAACTCCCAGTGGCAAATTAAAGCACTGCTCCTGCTGGGAAGATAAATGATACAAAAAGGACAGTTCAAAGAATCATCTCATAAATATTCCAGAGTTTTGAGCAGAAACCGACTGTCAGACTAAAAAGCAGCTTTCTCCCTCCGCTGGCCCAGGCTCCTGCGCCTTTCGTTGACATTCAAGAGTTTTGCCTGGGTAAGGGGTACCGTATCGTGCCCCTGTTGCTAACCCCCCCCAGGGAAACCAACAAAACCATGAAAAAAATAAAGCCAAAATAAAACAGGCTACAGAAATACAACCCACCTGGAAAAGCAGCCGAAGTGCAAACGGAACTCTTGCAAATTTGGACAGGGTTCCCTTTTTGGCACTGAGCAGGGACAAGAAACAGCCGGGCAACCAACCGGGCGCCAGCAAGCCTCGTAACAAGGCAGGATGTGGACGTGGTGCCAGGACACGGGCAGGAAGGCTGTCCACCAGTCCGCCCTGTCTCTGTCCCACTATGCTCCAAGCCAGGTTTCTCCTCCTCAGCCTTTTCCTGCAACAGCCCAGGAAGAGGAACAGTCTACCAAGGATGGTTACATCAGCTGGAAGCATCTGAAACACCTCATTGACACAAACTGCAGAAGGAACTGAATAAAATTCACCTTAAATTCCAATGTCATGGTTTTGCTTGCAAATATTTGTGGGGAAATATGGTGTCGGAGTGCTGCAGGATGCGATCTCGTGCGTGAAGACCAGTCCCCCATAAAACGAGCAGCAGCAGAACAGGGGAAGGGGCCAGCTCTCAGCATGCTGAAGCAGAGTAACTGCAGCACCCCAGTGGAACTTCATTCTCTAAGAAAAGCTCTGACCTGACTGTTTTCAGGTCCTGTTTTAGAAGAGGCTAAGGGACACGGCTATCAGAGAGAGCAACAGTGGGAGTGGTGGGCAAGTGAGAGAGAGAATTAGAAGAAGCAGAGAAAGCAACAGGATAATTGCTTTCCCAGTCTATGTCCAGCTTTGGACGGAAAACTCTTTCGAGCAGATACGAATCCAAGACAATGTCCATGCACTGGACTGTGTTTGACATCTGTGCATGATGATGCTTCCCTGGCAGTGGATGCTCTGCAACATCCCTTCCCTCCAGCTGGTCAGAGCATTGTGAAAACCGTTCCTTTGGGGATGACTCTGTCCCAGCTGAAATGTGGATTTCAGTGGAAAAGCTCACAGATATCTCTTCAGTCATTTCGCGTTGACATAAACTGGGAAAATGGACTTTCTCCTTGGGAATAAAGAGCTGTCATGGCTGCATCAAGACAAAGAAACCCAAAAAGACTGAATCTAAAAGCAGACAAAGAGCAGCTCCACTCCACGCACACCTCAGCAGGCTTCTGCTAGCAAGCATGGACCAACACCTGTGTCAACAAAAACACTGCCATTAAATACTTGGACTTCTTCCCCAGCAGCGTCACGGATACTGCTTCCCAAAACGCCCACTCCCTCTCCGCGCTGGCCGAGACATTCTTCACTAACCTGCCTCCTCCCAGCAGCACCTACACCCGCGCTGTCCGTCCTCACCTGCCTGCTCCACAGCAGCGAGAGCAGTGCCAGCAAAGAGGCTTGAACACAGAGAGAAACGTTAACGTCAGCATCACTTCATGCAACCTCTTTTACTCTTCTTGTTGTTTATGATTCAAAAATATGTAAAGATACCTGGGGACCCTGTTTCATTTTTCTAGAAAAATTTCTGTATGCCCACAAGCCAGGAGTTCGGGTAAAACCAAGAATATTTGTTATCACTTGTTTATTGCTTTTGATTTGCAAATGATTCAACCGTTTGATCCGGGAGGAAAAATAACGCTGAACCAATAACCGCAAAGCAAAGCGCACAAGCGTCCCCGAGCTCACGCACGCTTGCATCAGCAAATGAATGCATCGTGCAGACAGAGAAACCACAATCTGTTCCCGAACAATTCTCAACCAAGAAAAACCCTGACTCCACGGGATAACTGCTGGCAGTGAATAATTCAGCCATCTGTCAGGCCCAGCTGGGCCCCGTCCCTTCTCCTCACGCCGCGTCTCTCCTGTTTTAGGTGTGATCAGCGCACAGCGGCTTCAATCAACACCGCACGTGCTGCCCAGCTGAGCGAGCATCTTCCCGCGCCCGGCCGGGAGGAGGGCTGAGGGAGAGTCCTCCTTCACAGGAGAGGAAGGCTCTGAGGAACAGCTCTAAGTGGCACACCACGCTGCTCCGGGATGGATGTGTGGGAATGACAACATCACCAGAACCCCTTCATCGTACTCTACATGTGGTACCAACCAAAGCTGTAAGTTGAAATAAACTGTATTTCTGGTAGTTGACATACTTTTCAACATTTTTTTCTGCGTATTGCTGATGTTCCACCTTATTTTCACGTTCTGGCAGACGCCGCTCCCTGCTCTTCTCTGCAGAACCCCCTACGCCCAGTATCACCAGCAAAGCCTCTTCCGCCACGAGACACGGCGACAGGCGAGTTCCACCAAACCACCGCGGTGCGACCATAAAGGAAATAAACGGAGCCTTGAAAAATCATTCCGGTTCCTTAAACAGAGCACATTAAGTTTTATTCTAACAGGGCCTCTCTTGGAAGAAAATACCCAAGGCGGAACACAAGGGTGGAACCAACTGCCCAGGAGCAAACGAACAAACCGCACAAAGCGGTCTCTGTCCCTCGCGCCGGCCGAGAACGGCGGAGCGGGAGGGCACAGACAGGGAATTGTTTTCCAGATCATGGCGGCAGGACTCCGAGCATCTGCACCTCCGTTTGCCCGGACTGTCAGCCCTGCCCATGCCCCGTTAAACACCCAGGCAGAGTTCAGACTTTCCTCAGGAGAAAGAAAATAAAATGTATTTTCAGTTGGTAATTTTCACTGGGGGGAAAAAACTCGACACATTAAGGCTGTTTCTATCGGAGATAATTTTCAAAGCAGACTTTTTAAAGCATCTGAAGTGTGTGGTGTTTTCGGAGGTGTGAGGAAGGCTTCACCCCGCACTCACGCTACCGCAGCTGCGGAGCCCAGCGAGCGAGGCAGACCCGCAAGCACAGCTTCCCGCTGTGAGATGTAGGGCCAAACTTTTTTCCTTCTACTGTAAAAGGAATTAGGAAGTACTGCCCACTCATACACGAGAGAGGCCAACATCAACAGCTTTTATTTTACGCACTTAAAATCGCTCTCAGGCCTATTCACCCAAAAAGAGCTTTGAGGTGAAGGGACGCTTCTGGGGAATTAAAGACATGCAGCAAGCACTTGTGGGGCCAGTTCCTTGAAGCCGTATTTATCAACACCTTAAAAGGTGGAACTGCAGTGTATCTTGAAAATAAATAAATAAAAAGTTAAAATATTTTACGTTGCTTTCCACCAACATCTCCTTGTGCTCTCCTTTACACACACAAAAAAAAGAAAAAAAAAGAAAAAAATTATTCTAAAGACATACTCCCTGGATTACACCAAGCCATTACAAACACCATAGCACGGAAGAGCCCTTTGTCAACTTCAAAACTGCAAACCCCTCCCCACACCGTACTTTCAAATATCAAGACTGATAGAGACAGCTCATTTTTTTTAGACACAGAAAAAGCTAAATAGATTTCAACATTCTGCTGCTGGCATTGCCTCAGAAGGCAAATATCCAAAACGTAGCAAAAAGGTTTATGAAATCCGGCTTTTGCTTTTTCAGAAGCAAATAGTTCTAGGAAAGCAAGAGGCAGTCCCAGCTAGATAAAGCAGGTGAAAATGATTTAAAGCATCGTGTTCTCGTTAACCAGCCTTGCATCTCAAACCAGCCCTCACAGAAGCCCGGAAGAGTCCCCTTCTCTTTCCCACCCCTCCGATTTTAAACTCCTTGCACAGTCTCTTGGCATTCGAGGTACATCTTCCTCCTCCACCAGAGACAAATGTGAGAGCAAACATTATTTAAAACAGTTGTACAAGTGTTTCTGCCTGCCTTCGAAAGAGGCCTTTCACCTATTTAAATAGGAAAACTGTTTCCAAGGCACAAGGAGGCCTTGAAATGTCCCGTGTGTACTCTTCAGTATATCATTACAAAGATAAGAGGCGACACATTCATTTTGCTCAAACTCCATTAAGAAGGCCTCCAAAGACAGAAAAACCTCTTCTTTATGTGGTGTTTGCCCTTTCAGACAGACGTCACACGATGCAACAAATCTATCCCCAAAAAGTCCAATCTAAAATACGGCAATCAACAGGATCTGCAAATCCTCATTCTGGTATTGTTACAGCTGGTATTTTACTGCCACAACTTCACCATCTTCGAGTGACACAAACCGCTTTGGAAGGGACACAAAGCTTTCTGCAGAGCTCTGCCCAGAGCTGCCACGCTGCAGCTCCCTGTCTCACGGCAAGCCGAGGGCAGCG